ACCCATTTTGAGTAAATTGGTCTACTCGTTTAATAGAGGAAGCTGTAACTCACATAGGAATTTAGTGACTGGTGTATATTTGCTTGAATAGAATTCTGTTGCTTCTGTAAAGCAGAGTTTCTCAATCTGAGGGACAGAAGACATAATTTGTAGACTATACTGAATTATAAACTAATTCTAAATTTAGAGCGAATGATAATTGGATTTATTTCATACTTGCTCCAATAAATAAATGTGCAAAATTTATTTATTATATAAAATAATTAAAAAAATGAAGTAAGTTTGAACATCAATAGATTTTATACTAGTATATTTAGAAGTGGTTTTCCTGTATTGCACTTCGCTTCTTCACTATGAACAACTTATGAATTTTTGTGAGCTTAAGATGCCCTTACAGAAATAAAAAGCTCAATATGTCAAAAATTTTTGACCTGATTTGCCATCTTTTACCTAAAAACTATGCAATCGATCAAAAAACTTTTTTATGCAATTTTTTTAACAATGTTTATGTATTTGAAAATTTGTATCAATAACGTTGGCATCCTTAACGTTGAACCAGGTTTTGAACTTCATCCTATTTCTTGAACCACGTTTATGCATTTATAAAATCTTTTTAATGCAGAAAGGTTGTTGACACCGACTTCTATTAATTTTCTTCAAATATGCCCTAAATTGTTTGCCACCTCTGTTTCTATAATATATTTAGTGCACATGTGTGATCGGCTTTTATTCGACATGACAGAGCTTTGATCATCATGAATTGAAATTCATAAAGCATTACTGAATATGTGAACAAGTTTATATATATATATATATATATATATATATATATATATATATATAATATATATATATATATATAATATATGCACTGTATCTCGGAAATTAATGCCTCTTGTACTATGAATTATCACAAACTGGAAATTCGGGGAAGGAGTTGGTTTCGTGTTAGAAAATTGTGTGCAACTAATTAAATTTCTGAAAATATATTGTTAATTTTAATTTAAAAATATTTTTGCAACGTTTATATAACTTCGTATAAAAACGTAACTGCTATTGAAATAGTTATTATTACACTTTAATTCCACTAAGATTTCAATTGTATTTTTCTGAGATATTTTTTCCTTAGTCTTATATTACCATTGTTTTAAATATTCATAAACTAATGTATATTTATTTTGTCACTTTTATATTATTGAAATTAGTTAATTGTGAACAATTTTTTTGGGCAGACATAATAAGTAGGTATACCCTAAAATCGATGTAGATAATCAGTTTTGATTTCAAAAGCTGATTTACTGGAATTTACTCGATTCATTCAATTTTTCAGTAGTTTGTGAAAATGTGCAATTGATCACACTTCGACACAACATTTGTGAAATTACTTTATGAGTATTAAAAAGTTTTACTTTTATTTATTATAATCTGTAAATGTGTACTTTTAACTAGATTGCATTAGTCTATAGTGAAAGCTTCGTGTTTGCGGTAACATATTGCATTTGGAGAATTTACTGCCACTATAATTCTATTACAGTTTCATTAAATTTTGCCATTAATCTTGCGAATGCGAAACGACTCGTTGTTGCTAACTTTATTACTCGGATTAATTAAAATATACACTGTATTTTTAATGGTAAATATGACTTATTTAATTATAAAATAATTTAATATGAAATTTCCAGAGAGAATGTAGTTTATATCCTGTCATTTTTAGGTTTTTAATGTTTTACTCGAAAAGGAGGTCAAGGTCTACCAATTTTTTTAAGATTAAAACCATAGTTTCATAGTTTAAAAAGTCCTAATTCTTGAAAAAATGGAGAAATTGTGTTATCATTTTTGACTATTTTGGTCTAACCAAAGTTGTAGTAACCAAAAAAACTTACAGCTACGGTCAATAGCGTCACCTCGTTCTGGCTTGACGTTGAGTTCTGGGACACCCTGTATATATGTATATATATATATATATATATATATATATATCACTTTACCCAAAGATTAGATTCTCCCTCAGTACTCAGTTAATTTCCACGCTGGCATCAACGCATTTAGCATTCAAATTAAATCGTTATATTATACTAATGGCCCAAGCACTGTTCAAATATTAATCTGCAAAACATACGTCATTTGTTTGATTTAGAATACAAATATTAATAATATATATTTTATTTCTCATTCCGATCATGATTTATAACTTTCAAGAGATTCGTATAATCTATTTATAACAGCTTTTCAATTCAATGGGAATCTATTTTTGTACAAATCGGTTATTCATTTTATTGATGCATTTGCTTGAGGAACGAATATGTTTTGTTAGTACAATAAGAAATTCTTCGTAAATATATATATATATAATATATATATATATATATATTATAATAGTTCAAAATTTTGAATTTAAACACAAAGATGTAACTGGCGTAATTAATGTTCAAAAGATCCACAATAAATAAAAAAAAATTGACCCCAAAATTTTAGAACTTTTTTATTATAAAACGGATTGTATCATAGATCGTATGCGTTTATCGCTTATTAAGAAAATCAGGTATAATTTTACCTCAACATAAATATTTTTCTTATAAAAGAGATTATTTAAGTATTATTAAATATGGTTTGTTCATTTATTATACAAAAAGAATTTTCTGGACACAATTAATTTTTTATGCAAGCTTATATTTTTAGTAAAAAAACAGAAAGAAATATGGATTTCGTGAGTTTACCTTTTTTTTTGAATATTTTGCTTAAACGAGATGGATGATCGTTATTAAAGATTCCAGATTTTTACAGCAAATAGTTGAGAAAAATTCTGAGCATTATATATTTTGGTTGTGTACAAAGGTTGGGCACAAAGGTCCAATTTAGGTTAACTAAGTATACTGTCTAAATCAAATAAACTACATCACAACAAATAACACATATGAAACAAACAACTTCTTGACTATGTCCAGTAAAATTTCCAGTTAATTCACTATTGCAGAAGTATGCTTCTTCTAAAATTTTCCACCTGTTTCTTTTTACCTCATAGGTTGTGAAAAATGGTGCAGTCAGACAGCAAAAAGTTTCTATGTCTTATTTTTAACATTAAAAGGATTTTAAGATAATTGACTTATATATAATATAATTTATAACTAAATTATCCAACGCTAGCAATTTCTCTTTACAAATATTACACTGCATACAACCTTGATCTCGTATTTCGTCTGAAATATTTATTACCAGAGTTGGAATAACTATTAATTTGATTCATTTTTTCTAAAATTTCTTTTTTGAACTAAATTTACTTATTTATTTACTATTTTTTATTGCCTAAATCTTTGCCAGGGTAAAGGTCCAGTTGCTCATTTTTATCTCACCCACGTGTGAGCTTTTTATAAAGGTTATATAATAAAACTGTAAAACATTTAAATAAGGTATACTTAAAAATATGTCAACGTCTGGTAAACTAAACAACAGTGCTCACAACTAAAAAAACTAACAACGAAAGAAAATACTTTTGTTATAGATTTTCAAACCTTGTCGTTTATTTCCTGATAGCACGTCGTAAGAATCAAGGTGATGGCTGGTTATACATCTTTGCCCTCTACTTTCAAATATTGTTGTTAAAAAATTCTTAATCTTAACTTCACTGGTTTTTGAGATATCGATCGAAGTTTTTTTTCTAAATTGAAGCATGATATTTATGTAATTATTTTACTAACACCTAGTTTGTATTTTGATTGTACAATTCTTTACCACAGTGAGATAATACTTTTTCCTTATTATATTCGAACGAAAAGCAATTATCCAGAAAGCCTCACGGGCTTAATTCTGAAACACGTGAAATTTCTCATAACTCTCCTAATTAGAAACCTTTTCTATATTTAACATCGAGAACGATGAAAGATTAAAATTTTGCATAAACTTCATTCATTCTTTCCTTATTCTTAGCTCTTAAGACACGAATTTGCTTAATTTCTTTAAACGTTTTCCTGATGTTCTTTGAAAATCTTTGGAAAACTCTCTTCCGGCGGCTATAAAATAATTAAGCACGAATGATTAACACGGCGAGAAAATTATTTTTGTATTATTTGCATTAAAAATAGATTGTAAGAAATGGAATGTGTTTGGGAATAAGAAATTTGGTAATTAAATGGTTGGATCATGAAATGTACCAAGGTAGTATCGTCACCAAAATTGGTTATAAATCTTGTGGATAATAATCTATAATAATATACACTTAATGCAAAACTTCTATAATTAACATCTCGAAGAAAAACTTTGTTTTTGCGAAAAAATCTAATTTGCTAATTTTATATTTTCTCGGTGCTTCAAACTATTCTGACTTGTATGAGACCAAATTTGCAAAAAAGTATTTCTTTATATAACGTGACATTTTCATCGTTTTCCCATCACCACAATTTCAAATATTTATAAATTCAAACCATCTCAAATTAAACATCCTTTTCCTCGTTTTTCTACTACAAAATTCAGTTTTCCAATTCTCATATCCAATTTGTGGTTCGATGGAATTGAATATTAATTTGTTATCTGAATAATTTATTGGAAATATTTCCGTGCAAAATTAGCTATGGAATTGGAAATATGGATAATGATTTGTTTTTAATTAAGACGTACAAATATTATTCGCTGAAGAGATCAAATAAAATTGACAAATGTAATGGAAAATGAATCCTTTGGATTGTGATTGATGTGACATATAATTTTGCTTGTAAATGATGAAATGAACATTAATTAAATGTGTACCAGTAGAAACAGAACAAATATTGGTAAAAAAAATTGATGAGATGTTCTGGAAATATTTGTACAAAAATCACGTTAAAACTTGATGTTTTCTGCATATTAGAAGTGCTGTTTGTAATCACCTTTATATATCTATTTAGAAGAATTTAACATATCAAAAACATATAATCAAGTATTTTAATCTCAAAATTTTTCTAAATCATATATTATATTTAAATATATAATAATCAATGTTATTTCATAAATACTATTTCTTTTTCTAGTTAACTGCAACTCCTGACAACACTTCATGTGTGTTTCTAGTAATTCTCCTGCACTATTTCTCTCTGACAAATTTCTTCTGGATGCTGGTTGAAGGTAATTATAAAAATAATAATATAATTTCATATTTACTCAGAAAATTATTAAAGTATCTAAATATTGATCAACGATAAGCATTGAAAGATAAATAAATATTTAAAATTGATTTCACATACTTTGAAATTCATATAAAGTTAAATTCAAAGTGATTCTCCAGGATAAAAATAATCCGATGTAGTAATTGATATTTTTTATATTTATATACATATATACACATTCAAAAACTACTTTGTAATATATTTTAGTGTGTAACACATTTTTGATTTTATTATTAGATAAAATATATTATTAAAATAGGCACAACTATATTTAGCCTTATTGGTTTCAATTAATTTAATCCTATAGAACTTCTAGAAGAAAAATTCTGTTTGTAAAAGTAGATTTACATGATTTTTAAAGCACATTTTAAAGATATTCTTAAATCATGTAAAAATTACTAATTTATTAGTATAATATAAACTTACAATTTTTGTTCAATCATGGTCAACAAATTGTTTAATAAATGATAAAATAAGTTTATGAAATATTATTTTGATATAATTAAAAAAATATTAATATTAATATAGTTTTAGTATCAATAATTTATCGTGAATTTTTTAAAATTGCCTTTTAGTTAAAAATTATCAGAAAATTTTATAATAAAATATTTATTTCAATTGTGATAATTTATGTCAAATTTATATCGACTTTGAAATATGTATCAACATCATTAATGCAGATTTATACATTTTCTTTATTTTATTATTTATTTATCTAATTTATTCATAATTATTATTTCTTTTACTAAATTTATTCCTTTGTTTAAATTTTCTTTTGCAATAAATTAATATTGATAAATCCTTAATTCCTGTCGTTCAATTCTATTTTTTCATTTCATATATTTATTCGCTGGATTATTTGCATTTGAATCAATATTTATGCTAAAACTTTGAATTATAAATATGCATATTATTTACGTGTAGATATATAATTCAATAATATATTCTTCACAATTATTATACAATACATAATTTTCTATCGGATTAAATTTATTATTCCTGGTTTAAAATGAAATATTAAATTAAAATCTAAATTATCATAGCACCAGCAGAAGTAGACGGCATCCATATGAATATTAATAAAAATTATATTTTTTACTTATTCCTGCTTTTAAATATCAAAAGTCAAAATTGTAAAAGTATATATGAATATGAAAAATATATACAAATATTTTCATTCTAATTTTAGAGAATTTTTTCAAATATTTACAAAATATATATTATATTAATATAATATATATTTTGTAAATATTTGAAAATTTTCTCTAAAATTAGAATGAAAATATTTGTTCTTAACACTTCTACACAAAATATATGACAAAATAAAAAAAAAACTAAATATATATAAATAATAAATAAATTTGCAAAAATAAAACAACAAGTATGAAATATCCTATTAAAAGAATAATAGTAGTAAAATGAGATCAAAACAGAATTAATTCTAAATTTAATGCATTTTTTATGATTTTATAAAAATAGTTCAATAAATTATTGGGATTGTATTAGATTGGAATAAATAATTTTTTGAGTCTAATTTTTTACAAAATTTACTAATTAATTCATTTTCTTATTTTCAGGATTATATCTATATATGTTGGTCGTGGAGACTTTTACAAGAGAAAATATCAAATTGCGAGTTTATTTGCTCCTCGGCTGGGGTAAGTGAATTGTATACAATTTATTAAAGATTTATGCTATAAAAATAAAAGTAGAAAGGCTGAAAGAATTTTAAGGGAGAATACACATATAGAATTCATACATTTTTAAAGAAATTTTTGCAGAACTTGATTACTGTCTTACGGGGACGTTTTTTGGATAAAAGCCTATGCTTTGTGTTTTTAACTTTATTTTGAGAAAATGGAAATGTTTTAACATAAAATGATTTTTTGTGAATATTATTATTATTTTTGATCAAGAGAACAAAATATTTATTATTTATTTATTCATAAGCAAGCCGTAATCAATAATAATAGATATTAATTCAGGCTCTTGTCAAGAAATTGATTCCAGGTTGCTTATGATTAAATAAATATATATTGGTTTTTATTAGATTTCAAAGTTAAATTGTGAAGAAATCTTATATTATTTATAATAAATGTTTAGTTCTTAGATCTATTTTAAATAAATTTGGAGTTCAATTTAAGTTCAATTTTCCCATTTATTTGAAACCAATGCATACTTTCGCACATAGACTGATTTTATTTATATATTTTGTTTCTATTTGTTTACCACAATCATATTAAATTCAAATTTTAGTTATCATCCAACATTTTATTTGATGTATTTATTTTTATGTAGAATTTATTATGCATTGTGTATGGAAATTTGTTAGGATCTATATTCTGATCAATTAAGTTTTTTATTAGATTTTAGAATAGCTTTCATCGTGATTTTAAATTACACTTTGATCAAATAATATTTTATTAATAGTTTATTAATGAACTAATATTAATAATAAATAAATCAATCAATTAATTATTAATTATTTTATTATTTTTTACAGCTGCACCAGCATTATTCATATTGGCTTGGGCTATTGTCCGAAGTACAGTTCCACCTTCGCCTACAGATGAATCAATGTCCCTGATAATTGGAGTAAGTTATTAATTTTTTATAATATTTAATAAAATTGTACACTTTTTTACAAAAACTTTCACAAAATCAACCATACCAGTGTAAAATTTAAGCAAAAAATTGTGCATTTTTAACTTCCCATGTTGCGGTTTCAAGCAAAATGGAGATCGTCCAGATAATTCGCCATTCTGCTACGTGCAATGCATTTATGTTTTATCAAACCGGAACAAGAGAAAAAATATGTTTTCTAATTTTTTCCCTGTTGTATTTATAAACATATATTTCCATGCTTTTTTATCTTTTTCATGAATTATTGAAACGTTTTGTCCGTTTGAATCAATAATGCTCAGCTCGCGTAAAAATCAGAACACACATGAGAATAAAAAATCAGAAATAATAAACTTCTGTGGTTTATTTTAACATTTGGTTATGATATTTTAGATACGTATTTTTTTAACCTTGTTCGCTATTTTTGGGTTTCAGATGGATAATAAAATTATATTTGTATCTTTTAGAATATTTAAAATATTACATATATGTATAATTCTATTATTGTTAACTTCCCGAAGGAGAAGTTTATGTTTTCATCAAAAAATCCGATTCGCTAATTTTATGTTTTCTCGACGTTTCAAGCCATTCTGAATCGAATGAGACCAAATTTGGAAAAAGTATGTGTGTGTGTGTGTATGTGTGTGTGTGTGTGTGTGTATGTGAACAGATTTTTTGCCGTAAATCGACGTTTTCTCAAAAATGACTGGACCGATTTTAAAAATTTAAAAGCCATTCGATGTATCTCGATGAGGACTATCGTCTCTGAGTTTTGTGCGGCGATCAGCCGGGCCGTTTCGTTGTAAATTGCAGAAAAGTGAAAAATTTTTCGCCCACGTTTTAGCCCGCAATTCTAAATCGATCTGAAAATTCAAAAAACCATTCGATAGATATTGGTTGGGAATCGTGCTGATTAGTTTTTGGTAAAGATCGGCCGAGCCGTTTTCTTGTAATAACGTTTTAAAAAAAAAAAATTTCGACGATTTTTATGATTTTTTTTTTGACGTTAGATACCATAGTTTTCTAGGTCATACTAAAATATTACGGCCCTACGACAACTCGTTTAGCTTTAAAAATTCGTCAAAGTTTGCAAAAATTGGTATAGTTTTTTTGACATTTGTCAAAATTAGACTTTTGATCGACGTTTTCTCAAAAACGCCTGAACCGATTTCAGAAATTTAAAAGCCATTTGATGTATTTCGGTGAGGACTATCGTTTGTCAGTTTTGTGCAACGATCTGCCAAGCCGTTTCTTTGCAATTTAAAAAAAAGTGTTAAACTTTTCGTCCATATTTAAGCTCATCCTACCGAACCGATTTTAAAAAATCAAAAACTGTTCGAAAGATATTAATTGGGAATGGTACTGATTAATTTTAGGTGAAAATCTAGCGAGCCGTTTTCTTGTAATTAACTGTTGAAAAAAAGTGTTAAATTTTTGTCCTCATTTAAGCTCATCCTACCGAACCGATTTTAAAAAATCAAAAACTGTTCGAAAGATATTAGTTGGGAATGGTACTGATTAATTTTAGGTGAAAATCTACCGAGCCGTTTTCTTGTAATTAACTGTTGAAAAAAAGTGTTAAATTTTCGTCCACATTTAAGCTCATCCTACCGAACCGATTTTAAAAATCAAAAACTGTTCGAAAGATATTAGTTGGGAATGGTACTGATTAATTTTAGGTGAAAATCTACCGAGCCGTTTTCTTGTAATAACTGTTGAAAAAAAGTGTTAAATTTTTGTCCACATTTAAGCTCATCCTACCGAACCGATTTTAAAAAATCAAAAACTGTTCGAAAGATATTAGTTGGGAATGGTACTGATTAATTTTAGGTGAAAATCTACCGAGCCGTTTTCTTGTAATTAACTGTTTGAAAAAAAGTGTTAAATTTTCGTCCACATTTAAGCTCATCCTACCGAACCGATTTTAAAAAATCAAAAACTGTTCGAAAGATATTAGTTGGGAATGGTACTGATTAATTTTAGGTGAAAATCTACCGAGCCGTTTTCTTGTAATTAACTGTTGAAAAAAAGTGTTAAATTTTCGTCCACATTTAAGCTCATTCTACCGAACCGATTTTAAAAAATCAAAAACTGTTCGAAAGATATTAGTTGAGAATGATACTGATTAGTTTTAGGTGAAAATCCACCGAGCCGTTTTCTTGTAATGAACTGTTGAAAAAAAAATTTAAGCCGATTTTCATGGAACTTTTTTTTGGCGATATACATCATGGTCTTATAGAACTTACTGTAATATTACGGCATTACGACAAGTAGTTTAATTTTAAAAATTCGTCAAACTTTACTAAAATTATTATCGTTTTTTAAAGTAGGATTGATGAAGTATATTATTTACACTTTTTTTGATTAAGTCAATTATTTACACATATCGGGAAGTTCATGTAACTTGCCTCAAGGCTAAATACCAAACCAACTAGTTATAATTTGTTACTATCAAGATTTCCTATTAAAAACTTTGTTTAACTAGTCAGAAGTTAAAGACAAATAATCTATTATAAAAAATTATTATTTCTTGTAATTTCTTTTGTGATGTCTTTATGTTGCTATTACTATTTTTACGTAATTTTCGTATTGATTAAATCGATTAATTTTTTCAGGCAAAATGCTACTAACACCTAGTTAACCTTCCCTAGGAAAAGATATAGCAATACATTTAAATATATATTTACCTACTAGTTTTTTGTATTCAATGCTTTTTCACTTTATTAACTTCCCGAAGGAGAAGTTTGTTTTCATCAAAAAATCTGATTTTCTAATTTTATGTTTTCTGGACGTTTCAAGCCATTCTGAATCTAATGTGATCGAGTTTGGAAAAAGTATGTGCGTGTGTGTGAACAATTTTTTTTGCCGTAAATCGACGTTTTCCTAAAAACGGATGGACCAATTTCAAAAATTTAAAAACCATTCGATGTATCTCGATGAGGATTATTTTTTGTCAGTTTTGTGCGACAATTGGCCAAGCCGTTTCCTTATAAATACATAGCAGAAAAGTGAAAATTTTTTCGTCTACGTCTTAGCCCGAAATTCTAAATCGATTTTAAAAATTCAAAAACCGTTTGAAAGATATTGGCTGGGAATCGCGCTGATTAGTTTTTGGTAAAGATCGGCAGGGCCGTTTTCTTGTAATAAAGCTTTTTTAAAAAAAAATCGACGATTTTTATTATTATTTTTTGGATGCTAGATACCATAGTCTTCTAGATCATACTAGAATATTACGGTTCTACGACAGGTCGTTTATTTAAATCGTCAAAGTTTACAAAAATTAGTGTCGTTTTTCTGGCGCTTGTCAAAATTATAACTTTCATCGACGTTTGCTCAAAAACGCCTAAAACGATTTCAAAAATTTAAAAGCCAATCGACGTATATTGATGTGGATAATTCTTTCTCAGTTTTGTGAGACGATCTACCAAGCCGTTTCTTCGTAATTTTAAAAAAAGGTGTTAAATTTTTTCTCCACATTTAAGCTCATTCTACCGAACCGATTTTAAAAAATCAAAAACTGTTCGAAAGATATTAGTTGGAAATAATACTAATTAGTTTTAGGTGAAAATCTATCGAGCCGTTTTCTTATAATTAACTGTTGAAAAAAAAAATTAGCCGATTTTTGTGGAACTTTTTTGGCGATATATTTTATGGTCTTATAAAACTTACTGAAATATTACGACCTTACGACAAGTTGTTCAATTTTAAAAATTCATCAAAGTTTGAGAAAATTAAAATTAGACGATTTACTTGGTATAAGGCTAGAGTACACGGTCTCAATGCACATACTAAACCATTGAAGTCCTACCAAACTGGTTCAATTATAAAAATTGATTTTTGAAAATTTGCTGCTAGAAAATATTCCGAGTTAACGCGTTCGTTGGTTTTCAATTATGTGTATATATCCAGTCGGAATACTTTAATCATCAATAAATTAATTTAGTTTTTATTGATTAAGTCGATTATTTACACATATCGGGAAGTTCATGTAACTTGCCTCAAGGCTAAATACCAATACCAACTAGTTCTATATATAATCCTGATTTGTTGACTTTGCTGAATAATTTTTGCTTGTTCATATAAACATCCTTATTTATTTTAATGTATTTAAAATCTATCTTATGTAGGCGTATTACATTACATATTTCATTACAAAATCTTGAGAACCATACCAGACTATGTCTCATGAGATAGCTTTTATATCATGATATCATAACACTCAAAACAATTTCCTAAAAATGATTCTTAACATAGCAAAGTACATCAAGAAAAAACAACTCAACTTCTGCAACGATTCCATTATAGTAAAAAATTATGTCGTCACAGACATAATACCAGAAAATGTTGATTCAGCAAGCGGGGGAAGAAAATTACAAAAGCACAATGTAAAGGAGACATTTTCCGTCCTCTAAATCCATTTTCCTACATTTTCAGAGCAATGTGAAAATATCAGAGGTTGAAGCATTGTGTGGCAGAGGACTACTTCTTTGGGTTAATTAAAAAAAGGACATGTGGTGCGGTTGTAATTTGGATTTACTTATTCTGTGGCGTTGGATCTAATTCGCGATGAGGTAGCTTAAGTGAAAAACAAGCATTAAGGGAATTCATAAATAGTTTATGCATTAATTTATTATATTCAGGGTATGCTAGACCTTAACGTCAAGCTGAAACTGGAAAGGTGTAAACTAGTAGTGCAAGGCAGTGCCTTAAGGCAAATTACTGGAACTACCCGCACTGAAAACAAAATTATTAAAAAGTACTTTGTAAGACTTAGAAAAAATTAGATTTTTGAGAAAATTTCAAATTTTGGAAAAAAAATGACTTCTGCGCATAATCTGATTTTTTTGTATTTGGTTTTTTTCTTTTGAAAATCTTGAACATTTTTTTAAGCGATTGCATTGCATAGCTGATTTGCAATCGAAATATTAAAACGCGTAAGCGCCGCGTAATCGTCTAATGTGTTGTATACATTG